TAAAGGTTCTGACTATATTTAGACCTTAAGGAAATATCAGGACTATCTAAGGCAACTTCTAAAAGTCTAGAACAGAGAGGATTACTTTGGCTGGAGTTAGTGTTGAAATAACCAGTTTTTTTATACCTGAAGTCATTCTAGTTATTTCTGCAGCTGCACAAACAGCTAGATATCCAAGCACCACAGTATGGTGTTCAGGCAACCAAACACTGTGATTTATTGGGTTTAGGATACCCATGGCTTGTTTCTCTTTTCATCACACAATAGTCAGACACTTTTATTCTGGCCTCTTGGCCTCACATTATTTGTAAAAAGATAATGGATTAGAGGCTATGTAATGTAAAAATATCAAATAAGACATTCTTTTTTTTTTTGAGCATTTTATTTTGCTTTAGGGCATGTCTGCTTGCCAGAGAGAGAAACAGAGACAGAGACAGTGAGAGGGAAAGTGAGAATGGCCACACCATAATCTGTTTTCCTCCATTCTCCTCCTGGGATCTTGGGCACAGACGCACATGTGCCTGGTGTTTTTCAGTCCGCGGAATTGGAAACTCAAACTGCAGTTGGTCATGTGGGAGTCCAACAACACAAATGCTATGCTGCCTGATGGACCCCAAATAAGACATTTTTAAGAGGAACTTGTGTTGAAGGATTACTCTCCTGCTATAACTGTTCTTGTTTGAAATTTAAATACCTCTTCAGTTGCTGTGTAACATTTTAATTTTTTTATGAGCGATGCTTCTGACAGGTATTATGCAGGTAAGATCTGATTTTTAATGCTGAGATTACCTGTAAAGAGTGTCCTGAGAACTAACCTAGTTAAAAAACAGGAATCCAAGTCCCCAGTCTAGACTTCTAGTACTTTCCTCTGTTATGCAAAGTGCTCTGCTGTCTCTCTGACTCCAAGAATAACAAAAAGGTTGCAAGGAACTTGGCTGAAGAGAGAGGAGGCAAAATCCCTCTGGTCCTGACTGTTCCTTTTCTCCATTTGGCTTGGGACATACATTTGCTTTCAAAGCAAAGCTGATTTCTGCAGAGAGCAGGCCTCTGTTCCCAAACAACCTGCATGGATCACTCTGGGGAGGAAAGGAAGAAGAATGCATTAATTCCAACCAGGGCTGCAGGGGTATGAGAAGATGGCATAATGTCCATATAAGGTAACATTTAGGGTTCAGAATAAAACATATCAAATATGTGTTAGAGGCTAAGCCATGTTAAAATAATCATAAACAGTAAAAATGGAGGAGAGAAATCAGAAAGAATCAACCTACAGAATGAAGAGAACTTGAGGGTATTAACAGAGAAGAGGTCTACCCTCTGCTATAAACAGAGCAGGATGGGTTCTGGATTGACTGTGGGCAACAGAGCCATAGAGCACTGGACGTTAGCAGCACAATAAGATGCAGGACAGCCCTCCTTCCCTTTTACAGTGGTCTACCTGACCTCGTGCTGAAGGAGTCACCAAACGACTGCTATACACCAAGACCTTGCATACTCTAAATAAACGCAAACTTTCGTACTTGTATTTTATTTACAAACATATTTTTACAAGTATTGTGGAAGTACTTCCATCTGCAAAACATCATATTATGTCTACCCAGACCCAAGGAGTTCAATAAACATGATAAAAAGTAGAAAAAACATGCAATTATCCACAAATAATATTCAGGAACAATGAGAAGAAAAAGAAATATGTTGAGTGTAGGCTGACATGAGCTTAGCCAGTCTCGGTGTTGTGGTTGTGCTAATATAGGCTACCTAGCTCAAGATCAGAACTGGGAAAAATGTCAGAGTAGGCTTTTCAATCCTGTTGTTGTGATGTGGTGAGTCAACATCTTAACCACAGCACCACCTGCTGGCCCCAAGAAGCAATTTTGATATTTATTGTTATAAATAAACAGTTTGAAGTAGTAAAAGCAGATTCAGTGCAAGAACTACATTTTTAAGTAGTAAAAGCAGATTCAGTGCAAGAACTACTTTTTAAAAAAAATATATATTTATTTTATTTTATTTTATTCATTCATTCATTTTAACTTGACCAGAGAGAGACAGAGAGAGAGAAAGAGAGAGTGAGAAAGGAAGCCACCAGTTCCAGGACTCAAACCATGGTTGGACATGTGGGAGTATCCAGCGCCTTATCCACTATGCCATCTGCCGGTCCCACAAGAGCTGCTCTTAATTCTTGGTATAGTTTTTAGAAATGACAAGTGTTAGTCATTTTTACTAAGTTATGCTTATCACTTATCTAGATCATTTTATTAAGGATCTATAGCTATCTACCAAAACATGTTTTAGATATTTATGTTCTTATAAGTACTGATATTAATATATATTTGCAAGGAAGTTTATAACTATTTTATTCTAAAAAGATCAGTTTTCAACCCATTAGCAATCCCAGTATGGAATATTATTACAAATTTATAAATTACTGTATATTTATAATTATAAATATCAAAATTACTTCTTGGGGCCAGCAGGTGCTGCAGTGGTTAAGATGTTGAACTCCCATATGACCAATAGCAATTTGAGTCCCCGGCTGATAGCCTGAAAATCTTGCCATGCCCATGTGCTTGCATGCCCAGAATTCAGAATGAGAATGGAGAAGAAGGGATTGCGGCATGGCCTTGCCCCCTGGGAGGTGATTTCTCACTTTTCCTCTCACTGTCTCTCTCTGTCTCTCTGGTGAGTGCACATACCCTGTGGCAAAACAACTTTAAAAAAATGCTTCTTTTTATTCTTATATTTTATTTTTTATTTTATTTTATATATCCGATCACTATACATTACTACAGCTTGTACAGTGAACTTACCCAACTTGAATGCACTTCACACCAGTCCAGTTGAAAATACTATACACGTTATTATCAACAGAAAATCATCCATTTCTGTGTCCCATAATCCCATAAATGATTTGCCCTTCTATTTCTCTCCTTGATTCCTTTCCTCACACTTTCTCCCTTCCCCAACTGTTGGTGGGAATGTAAAAAATTGCTTCTTAATAAGTTACAAAGTACATTCCGAAGTCCATCTTTTTCACGTCTATTTTCTAGTCCCCTTTTGATAAATTTGCTCACATCTATGGGCCTAGGGCTTCCTACTCGTCTATCTTTGCAAGACAGTAACTCTAAGGCTGTTTGCTGCTGCTGCTGCTGCTTTTTTTTTTTTTTTTTTTTTGTCTCAATCACATAAATCAAAGGCCTAAATCCTCAGGTTGGATTTGGTAGACTCCAAATCTGATCACAGAATGACTCCAGTTATTTTTTCCTGCTTTATCTTCCCTCATCTCTTCAAATAGTCCCTGGTCATGTATGATTTTCTGTTTTCCAAATAAGTTCCTGACCTATTTATTGGAGATATTTTCAAACTGAATCCTCACTTGTACTCAAAATCAGTCTATCCACTGCACATCCGCTGGTTCTTCCAGCTTTGATCCTGCACGCAAGTGCTAGGAACTGTTGACTCTGCATCTGCTTAGAAAAGCCCTAGTGTAACTACACCATCATGAGAATACTATTTCCTTGCTGAGATGGGCCCTTTTGAAATGTCTTCAATATTTCCATCCTTCAAGTACTTAAATAGAACTGGATGTCCCAACACATGAAGTAGGGGAAAGGGTCAGATGGCCCCCTTGAGCCTTCTGCCACATTTTTCTACTTGATCCTCAAAACTCACAAAATCACAAATACGAATAGTTCCATCCTTTAAGTCTGCTATTAAGTCTCTGTATTAGTTTCCTAGGGCTACCATAACAATTTTTATTTTAATGAATAGTTAACACTACATGTTCATGGTCTGTATTGCCAGATAAAAATCTCAGTCATAGACAAGTCTAAGGGAATAAGTTTTCCAAATAAATAGAATTTAGGTATTTATGTGTATGTTAATTATTAAAAGCTATATGAAAATATTTGAAGAGAGATTGGGACCAGAGTTAGCGTAATGGCTATGTTACTAGACTCCCATGTAGTCAACTGTGGTTTGAGTCCCGGACCCAGTGGCTTAAACTCATTCTGGGCATGTGTGCATGTGTGGCCTAGATCCTGAAAGGAGAATAGAGGAGAAGGGATTGTGGGATAGCCATTCCACCAGGGGGGTGATTTCTCTCTTTCTGTCTCTCCGTCTCTCTCTTTCTCGCAAATGCACGTGCCCTATAACAAAAAACCTCTCTCAAAAAAAATTTAAAAAGATTAAAATAATGTATAGACCTGGCTTGGATGCATGTTTTTTCATATCTCAGTTAAAGGAGCATCATATCCTACCTCTACCTTATAATCTTCTCATTATCTCTAAACTTTGAGATGTGCTTAATTATTATAACATTTATTGTCACTGACATTAAATAATTTGAGTATTAAATCTATAAAAACAACAAAAATAATGTAAATGTATGGTTACCCTACAAATAAATTGTTTGCTCCCAGTAGGCTACATTACTACTAGAACACAGGTTCTTGGTACTCAATGCATAGTGCATGGGCCAGCAGCGAAGACAGAACATGCAGAATTCAGTGCCCTCAGTCCAGACTTACTAAACAGGTGCTTCAGAAAGATATCACTCATTTTCATTTGTTGTTTATTAATGATCTCTCATTTTATTCCCTTGAACTTAACATTTTATTATTCCGTATGGTTTGATTTCAACTCAATGTATTATGTGTCATTTTCTCCAAAATTGTAAAATAAAAAGGGGGAGTGAGCCAGCCAGTTGGCATGGTGGTTAAGGCAGCTAAATCCCACATAGTCAACTGTGCAGTTCCAGTCCCAGACCCGTCAGCTTGAAAAACACACCAGGTGCATGTGTATGTGCGTCCAAAATCCTGATTGAAGACTAGAGGAGAAAGGATTGTGGCATGGTCATCCCCATCTGGGGTGGTTGTTTTAATTTATTACCTTCCTTCTCTGTCTCTCTCTGGTTAGTACACACATCCTATAGCAAAAAAAAAATGGAGCTATAAAAATGATGTGAGTTAACTAATATTTCTAATGTTTATTTCATTCAGATCCTCCAATTATTGAAGGAAATATGGAGGCAGCAAAAGCAGTGGATTTAATCCCATGGATGGAGTATGAATTTCGTGTAGTAGCAACGAATACATTGGGTATAGGGGAACCCAGTATACCGTCAAACAGAATTAAAACAGATGGTGCAGGTATGTAGAAGAAACTTTCTAAATTTTAAAAGACTTATAAATACAGTGCCATTTTAACATATATTGATCATATTTGGAAAGAAATAATACATTGAGGTAAGTGATTCACCTTTAAAATGTGTGTTTATTTCACATGTGTGTGTATTTTATGTCAAGATAGTAAAAAAAATTAAGAAAGAAAATATAAAGTTTAAGAATATTGTTACACAGTTAATTTGGGAAAAAGGATAAATAGAAACCATTGCATATTCCCCTAGAGACCATTTAAATGAAGTTGGTATTTAGAATCTAAGCTCGAGTGTAAATTCTGAGTTGTAACCAGGTAGACTCTGGAATTAGCAGGTCCCATGATTTAGAAGGGTCACAGTTTTGATTAATTCTCAACAGCATTTACAACTAAAGAGCTGCATGAAGAGCCTTGGCAAGGAGGGGAGGGTGGGCAAGGATGAGGCCTTTTCAGATCTCTGCCACTTGGAGAGTCATAGTCTCTCTAAGAAACATTGGGTTGTCGAGAAAGTCATGATACATTTTTGCTTAGAAAAAATAAGTCATGACTTTCCTGATGACCTAATAGCAGTGAGGGACTGTTGTTTTAACTTTAGATGTCACTGTAAAATACAGTCGGGCACTAACAACATGACTTTTTGTCAATGATGGACTAACCACATACATAATGGTGGCCCCATAAGGAGCATATGGCCTATACTGTGTAGTCCAGTGTTTAGGTTTGTACAAAGTACACTTTGCTACATTCAGATAGTGACAAAATCACCTAATGGGACATCTCTCAAGCTATGTCCTGTGCTTTAAGGATCTATGATGGCATCTCTTGTCCTAGTTCACCTTGCCTATTCTTTCCAATCTAGGTTCACATTTTTATACTAAATATCTACTCCATTTAAATAGCCTTTAGCGAGAGAATTACTCCTCTCTTTGTTCCTATTTTCCTGCATTGCTAAGGCAAAACATTTTGATTCTAATTATAGCTCTTCTTTTATTATTTCCTGTCTATCAAAAAAAAAGAATGGTTTTGTAGGCTCTCTGAGTTCATTTATTTTGATGATAGTATGCCAAACACCAGTGCTTTTCAGGGAGGACAAGACTGCCAGTAAACTTCTGCTATGAACTCTTAATAGGACTTAGCCACATTTCGGGCTATCTCAGTTCCTTGACCTAACTTCTAAGTAGAATTCCGGGTTCTAAGGTCTTTGGATTTGATAGCCAGGTAATCATAGGTCTGCCATCCTTAAACTGTCTCTTAGTTTCACTTAATTTATCAGATAAAAATGATGGTTCTGAACTAAAAGTAGAAAACAAGCATTAATGTTGCTGGTCTGTGGCTGAGTGTTTTCACATGCATTTCATTTAATCCTCATCATTCTGCTGTGTGGATAGTCCTGTCTTCATGCTCATTAATGGGCAATAGACTTAGAGACACTGAATAGTTCGCCAAAGTAAATATAACCCCTTGCTAGACTCAGAACTCAAGTGAATCTGTCTGACAGCTCTCCTCATACACTGAGCTTTTTCTCTGAAGAGTTCCTCAGGTCGGTTCTAAAAACACATCCACTTATACGAACCTTTTCTAGAGTTTCAATAGAAGCTTATACTTTTTCTTTAAGCGTGAAACTAGAGATGATGTAAATAGTCAATGGTTTCATTTTAGTTCATCTACCTTCAGAATTAATCCAAATGTTGCCTTTTCTCTGCATCACAAAAATCTCATTAGGGTATGGAGGTAATCTAATGATTATTCCTGAGAGCCTCAGTTTAGAAACTGGGGTATGACCTCACTGGTTGCTTGAATCTCATGATTTTTACTTGAGATGAGAGATTGCACACTTGGTTTGATGTAATAAGTATCCGTTTTCAAAATAAAATTGTGGGACAATATTAAGTGATTAAGTTATCCAAACAAACCTATTACAGTTAAAAATTATAACATATCTATCTCAAATACAGGCCTTTAAAATTTATTGAATGTGATGAATTTTTGACTAAGACAATAGGAACTAAGCCTTATTAGGACATATTTTAGTGAAGTACCAGTTGTTTATGGGGAGGGAGGAAATGTTCATTGCCATTAGTGGTGGATAGAGACCTGCCCCCTTCTTTTTAATTCTCATTTCACTTGCTACAGAGTGTGTGAGCTCCCCTGAGAGAGACTGAGAGACAAAGAAAATGTTTATTCAAATATTATTGTGTTAAGAAATTGATTCTCAGGACCAGCAGATGACATAATGGTTACATTGTTGGACTCCCATGTAGTTGACTGTAGTTCGAGTCCCAGATCCAGTGGCTTAAACTAATGCCAGACAAGTGTGCGTGTGTTCCCAAGATCCCAAGAGGAGAATGGAGAAGGAATTATGGCATGGTCATCCTCCCTTGGGCGTGATTTCTCACCTTCTGTCTCCCTGTTTTTCTCTGTCTCTCCCGCGAGTGTATGCGCCCTATAGCAAAAATCGCTCTAAAAAAAAATAAGAAAGAAAGAAAGAAAGAAAGAAAGAAAGAAAGAAAGAAAGAAAGAAATTCTCTCTGTCTCTGGTGTGCATAGAAAATACCTCCTTTAAAAGCCATTGGAGCCAAAACCAACACCTGTAACATATTAGCAGTCTTATTCACAATGTAAGGTATAGCCCTGTAGTATAATTAGAAGTTGATTTATTCCTTTCAATTATAAAAAAAATAAATTCTCAAACCTCTGACACATATGTTAATCTATTATCAAGAAATATTTTAGGATCTTTTGTTAATCAGCCTATGTGGCTACCATAGTTTATGCACTTGCTATAGGAGGGAACTGTTATAAGTTTTAGAAAAATTGAATTAATGTATAAGTTTATATTGGAGAAAACTTTTTAAAATTATTTTAAGAATTATTTTATTTAACTTTGTATATTTTAATTTTACCAAAGAGTGAGAAGAGAGAGAAAGTGAGAAAGCAAGCTGCCAGGTCCGGGATCCGAACCATGGTTGGCCATGTGGAAGCCCAGCGCCCTTAACCACCATGGCACCTGCCGGCTCTGCAAACATTTGAAATCCATGTATGGTCTTTTCATAACACATTTCCCATGACCTGTTTGAAGATCCTTCCTGTGTTGTCATAGTGCTCAACTCTAGTGGCATTGTTCCACTTAATTCTCACAGTGACTTTATAAAACTGGTGTTATTACTTCTAATATTACATCTTAGGAAGTTAAGATTATACCCAGCTAATGTGAGGCAGAAATGGAATTCAAATCCAGACCTTTCCAATCCTAAAGGTTTGACTCCTAAACCACTTCCTGAAGACAGCATGCAGTCTTGAAACTCCAGGCCACTTGTCCTTTGATGGCATCTTGGCATCATCATTTATAAGCTCTGTGATTTGAGACATGTTACTTAATCTCCCCGAACCTCATCTCTAACTGTGAATAATTTATCCAGTGGAATTCATTTTATGATTAAGACACACATAAGAAAAGCAGTTAACACTTGGCTCAATAAAATTTATTGTGCTATTGATGCTTATTTTAAACCATAATATGCTTATAAGAAAATATGGCCTCTAATTTTATAATTGATCACCTCATTTGGCAATGTTTTTCCATTTTTTATAAAAGCATAATAGAAAAAGGATTATATTATTTAATTTAAAATGATCTTAAAAGAATATTTCATATAATAAAATTGAGCAGAATGTCTCTGTAGGTTTTCCTTTTGCCTGCTTTATAATAATGAATATGCAGAAAATCGGCCATTTGCATTTTTCATCCTTACAAAACAATAAAAATATTTCTTAAATGAAGGATATTTGTCTTGTCATATACCATTAAAACAATTTTCTAAGGGCTGCCACCATATGTTATGTGGGATAAAGGCTGGTTCGCATTTGATGGAAAGGTTGGTCCTATGGTTCATTATGCTGATTGAAAGACATGACATTATCCAAAGCCACATACGCCCTTATCTGCCCAATTACTTAATGTTAAGATCTCAGTGCACAGTTGGGTGCATTCTTCGGATTCAGACAAGTGCATTATAAAATGGATGCTGCCAAATGAAGAATTAGAAGAAATGTTTGTCATTCATTTTGGCCCATTTAATTTTGACTGTAAAAAAGAGATAACAAAAGCGTCCTTTGAAATAATGTGTCATTGTAGATATACTCTAATAGCTAATAGTTCTGCAGGTACAGTTGTGAGTTGATATCCTAAATTGGTGCATTCAGGTTTATTTTGACAGCTTTGATGTTTACTTGCCAGATCAAACCAACTTGAGGAGGAGAACAGGAAAAAAATAACAAATCAGAATCAACACTTGAATATTATACATCAAGCCTTAATTTTGTGTCTATTCTGCTTTCATTTCATTTCATTTTTCTTTCTTTCTTTTCTCTTCTTTTTTTTTTTCTTTTGGTTGTTTCTTCATTTTGTTTCTTTTATTCATTCCTTTTTTCTTTCTTTCTTTTCTGTTCTTCTTTTTTTTTTTTTTTGGTTGTTTCTTCATTTTGTTTCTTTTATTCATTTTTGTTTCTTTTGTTTCATTGTATATTTGATAAAGGACAGAGATGGTACTAAAAATCTCTTTTGAAACTGGAAATGTACTATGTTAAAGTTAGTTGCTGTCATTAAAACTAAATAGATAAATCTCTTTAAAAGAAGTTAAGAGTATAGTTTTTAAAAATAGCTTTTTCATGATAGAGTGTATGAGTGTGTGTGTGCGTGTATCAGTGACAGGGAGAGAGAGAGAAAGGAGTCTCTTCCACCATTCTGCTCATGCTTTGATTCCCTTCCTCCAGTTCTGCAGCCCAGAGGATCCTGACTACTCTGACTTGTTTCAGGCTGAGTGGGCCTGGGATTTGAACCTCCATCATCACATAAATTCTGGCTTCTTTTTAGAGCACATTATGGCTACACCTTAGAGTCAGACCTATGATTATAGATGCTTAAGCTATCACAAAACCCGTGTTAAACTTGGCAGCTTTTCTACCTGTCAGCCCTCCAACCTGGGCAAGTTAA